AAAGGGGTTGGGGAGAAAGAACATAAGAGCTGTAAGATAATGAGAAGGGCTGGGAAATGCCATTTTCGAAGCATGCTACAACCAAGGCAATCATAAACTAGCACATCTAATAGTCAGCTACAGATGGGAAAGAAGACCATAAGGCCCTATCACACACTGTAGAAACTAATGCACACTAAAGAAACTAACATTCTGGGAAAAGGGGAGGCATAGTACCTAGTTATGTTGCCACTGATGAGCCCCCCAGGGTATAATGGATAGTTTCAAACCCAAAGTCATACATACAACCCTAAACTCTGTGGGACACAAGACAAAAACACATTTATAAGAAAGTAGGGGCAGACGGGTGGGAGTAAAAGACACAGTTGGGGCAAAAGTAACCTGAATGTATTATATACGCATCTAAAGTTGTCAAAGAAGAAAATTTATCAATTAAAAAAAAATAAGGTGGAGGACAACTAAGGAAGTCATCCAACGTCTATATCTGGTCTCCAAATGCTTGTACATGTGCATCTACATACACAACACATACACGAAGAGAAAAGATAAAAGAACTTGAAATGAATTCTTGGTATTTATCATACTAAAAAATATGTCTTCAAAAGTTCTAACTAGCTAAGTTTATTTTTTTGATTTATGGTGATTATGTCAAGTACGAGCGAAGGGGAAAAGATATTAAGTAAAAATACCTATGAATCAAAATTTTTTTTTTTTTTTTGGTTTTTCGAGACAGGGTTTCTCTGTGTAGCTTTGCGCCTTTCCTGGATCTCGCACTGTAGACCAGGCTGGCCTCGAACTCACAGAGATCCGCCTGCCTCTGCCTCCCGAGTGCTGGGATTAAAGGCGTGCGCCACCACCGCCCGGCGAATCAAAATTTTTAAACTTTATTCCTGGGACTGGGAAGATGGGACTTGCCACTCTTCCAGAGGACCCAAGTTCAGTTCCCAGCACTCAAGTTGGGTAGCTCACAACTGCCTGCAACTCCAGTTCCAGGGTATCTAATACTTTCATCTGGCCTCCATGGGGGCCTGCACATATGTGCATACCCTCACAGACACTTAAATAACATACAATTTATTCACTTTTCTTTACCATAAAATAGCAAATATTAATTGTATGAATGATGAAAACTAAAGTCTGCCTATATATTGTCCAGTATAGTAGACATAGAAGACTATAAATATTTTTATTTTCGGTTTTGATCTTGTTATTTTGTACTGGAGGTGGGAAGGCAGAATCATTAGTTTTGTCAGACATAAACCAATCTATGCAAACTTTCCCAGCAATTCTACAAACCTCCCTCCCTCACTCATCTCATACTCTCCTTGGGGCTAGTTGCATTTCCAAGCAACCTCCTAAAACAGTTTGAGAAGTGACCCAGTCCACACGTTTACACATGGAATCTACTCTGCCCTACTAAGTCTTAAATCTTTGGTAATTTCTAGAAACAGCTACATTACTATTTGAAAAAAGGGTTCAAAGTCAAATTCTGATTAAACAACACTATTAAACTAGTAACCATTAAGTATACATTCTAGAAATAGTCATAGAAACCATAACACTAGTTTATAGTTACTGTTTAAAATACCACAAAAATAGCTTTTAATTTACTGATGCAACATTACTTCCAATATATAAGCTCATGGTCAGACATAAATGAAAAACAATACTCAATACCTTGAAAGATCTTTTAGAGCCTCTTCTGTTTTGATGATTTTCCTCAACTCTAAATATCTTCTGAGTAATGCCATCTTTTCTCTGCATAGCATAATTCTGAATAAAAAGTATTAATATGGGTTAATATACCTTAAGGGTTACTTTAAAAACTAGTCTCACCAATTAAGACATATATTTGAAGATAAGACCCCAAATCAGGGAGCATGGAGCTTACATACTTCTTCTCTCATATGACCCATGCTAGTTTGTGAGGGGCCAGTTTCATTCATGCCTGTGAGAAGTGTGAAAAAAAACACTCTGTATAACACAATGATTAACTTTTAAAAAGTGGACTATAAATCTAGTATTGACTCATGTATGCATCTTTGAAAGAAAGAAACCCATTGCCATTAGGACTTCGTAAAGGTTGTCTATTGTCCAAGAAAAACCAAAAGTCTCCACACTGCCGGTAGGCAAGTTAGCCTAACATAGACTTTAATCGACTGAAGGTGATATTCTTACAATAGCTTGGGAAGGCCCAGAAATAAGAGAAAGAACTACATTAGCAATCTAACTACACAGATCCCGAATCCTCTAGCAGAAACAATTAAGATGGTATCCATTCTCCAGTTTCCTATTTCTAAAATCAATAGTCTTATTACCTTCTACTTAATCCATTTCTGTGGAGTCTGGCCAGAGGGAGGATTGTACTAGGCAGCTGCTGACATGGCTCCTAATAATCTCCATCAATGATCCTTCTCTTTGTGGGCATGATCTAGTAACTTGCTTCTTGTAATAACCGTATGGTAAAGTAATGGGATATTACTTCTAATATTGTATTACAAACTAACTGCCTCCCATCATTTAGTCATCACTTACAGAAGAGCTGATGGCTATTACTTCATGATCTATTCTATAAGCAAATCTTTCAAATAGAGAGATTCGTGGTTTTGTGGGGGATGGGAACATGTAATAATTAAGCAGGCATGAGAGCTCTTACTGGGTAATGACAATATCCTATGCAGGCATGGTGGCATATGCCTGTAGTCCCAGCATTCAGGAGGTGAAGGAAGATGGGTTGCAAAGTGGAGGCTTGCTTGGAGTGTACAGCAAGTTCCACTGCTTAGCCTGAGCAACAAAGTGAAATCCTGTCTTAAGTCCAACAACTGGACTACAGTGATGACTACAACACATCTTGAAGAATTACGAATCACCAAATTATACACCTGAAATAAATGAACTTTATAGTGTATAAATCCTACTTTAATGAAGTTGTTATCAAAACATCTTAAGAAAATTAGTACTATAACAAATGAAATTTCTACTAAATCAAGAGAAGAGCTTTCTTCTGTCATAAATTCTTTTAAGCCTCAACACTGTTATAACACAAAATAAAATTACAAGCACTCTGAAAAGTATGTATATATATATATGTATATATATATTTATGTACAAAAATGAAAAACTTGAAACTCCAATCTTACTATGTAAGGTTTCTGAATAAATTTTCTAAAATTTGATTTTATAAAATGTGGAGGCTTTTGAAATCCATCAGCACGAATAGTCTTCACCTTTGAAGAACTGGGACACTGATGATTCCTAATAAAGGGAAAGAAAGAATCTTGTTACTTTAATCAGTTAAAGAGGAAAAAAACTTGAGACACATACCACAACAGTAAAATTTCAATGATCTGTCACTACTAAAATTATAAATGATAGTCATTACCACTGATGTTTTCAACAAGCATTATTGAACTAAGCTGGAAGTTAGCAATAGAGGAAAAACAACATTCCTTGTACTAGGGGTCTCACTCTGAGGTCCAAGGACAGGATTCCTGGAGGCTATGGCTGATATATGTAAGTTTCCGCCCCCTCAGGAAAAAGTATCACTGCCTCCCCCGCCCCTACTTCCTGAGATTCTTGGCAGAAGCATCAATGGCTTATGACCCAGCCCATTTTTCAGAGGTAAGGTAAGAGACTAGAACATGGTCATCTCACTGGCAAAACTGTGGGCTCTCATACTGCAAAGGACAGGCTCCCAGCTCCTCACAATGTGAGGGATCTTGAGGTCACAATGGGCTCTCCCAGGTCTGCTTGGTAAGAAGATCCTGGAAGGTTCATTTCTATAGCTCTTGGCAATTCCTTTTCTTGTCATAGCCCACATCTCCCCACAACACTCTTTGGAGTTTTGGGTCCTGTCCTAGATCTCGCTCTGTAGGCCAGACTGACCTCAAACTCACAGAGATCGACCTGGCTCTGCCTCCCGAGTGCTGGGATTAAAGGTGTGTGCCACCACCGCCTGGCTCCCACAACACTCTTTAAGATCTATCCTATGTCTTCTGCAGGGCCTGTTCCTTAGGGAGCCAATTGCCTTGCTTCAGTCCCTCCCATGAACTTTGCATGGGATAAAATTCAGTCTTCATGATTTCCCATGTCTTTTATGCCCTGGCTCTTTATGGTCTTACTATCTGCTTTCCTCCAACCTCCCAAACACATATTGAACTTTAAATAATTAACCGTGTATATATAGTTCCCAGAACATACCATGATCTTTCCTGCTTCCATAACTTTGTACCTGCAATTCCTTCTGTGATCATTTTCTTCCATTTAGATTAACTTCAAAGTTTGGCTCCATTCATACCTTGTCCAAAACTTTCCTAAACTCCTCTGAGGTAGAATAGATAACCCTACTGTGACACATACAGTATTTAGAGGTCCTAACACCTACCTCTCCTATTTGTAGCTACTGCTTATACCTGTGTGTTTATGGAATAAGCTTTGAATACCACCGTGGATGGTTTATTTGTGGTCCCACCACTGACCCCAGAACCTGACACAACATAAGGCTTCAGGGTCTATTAAATGGTCAGAAAACTGCTGCCCTGATAAAATGTTTGTGATGTAATACTAAGTCAAAATAGCAGTGTGTAACCGCAAAACTATACATTGAGGATAATTTCATTACTTAAAAAGCACACATATATGCCTATAAAAAAGATAAACATCAAAAATAGACCAAATATTAGAAGTGCTCATTTCTATTTGGCAAAATTACAAATGCCTTATGTTTTAAAAATTCTCTTTGTAAAACATATCCAATAAAGAAATACAGGTTGAACATCCCTAATACGAAAATCTGAAATGCTCCAAAATCTGAAGCCTTCTGAGAACCAACATGAAGAAAAATTCTACACCTGACCATATAAGACAAATCACAGTCAAAACACAGGCACATTAAAATACTGTATAAAATTTCCATATGAATGTAAGAACATAAGTGAATTTCATGTTTAGTTATGGGGCCCTCCTACCCACAATAGCTGATTATATATATATATATATATATATATATATATATATGCAAGTACTCCAAATAATCTAAAATCTGAATCATTTCTGGTCACAAGCATTTCCAGTAAGTAACACTCAAACTGTAGTATCTAGAATACATCAAGAACTCTTAACATGTTACTATATTTTATTATTGTGTATAGATGAGCCAAGTCACACATGTGGAGGTCAAAGGAAAATATGTACGTCTCAGGTTGTCAAGTTTGGTAAAAGTACCTTTACCCATTGAACCCTCTCACTGGCCTGGAGAATAGTAAAGAACTCTTTTTATCCAGGTGTGGTATCATGCCTTTAATTGCAGCACTTAGGAAGCAAAGTAGATTGGTCTCTATGAGTTTGAGGCCAGCATGAGTTACATAGTGAGTTCTAGGCCAGCCAGGACTTCATAGTGAGACCCTGTCTCAAAACAAAAACAATCCTCCCAACTATTATACCTCAGCAATAAAGACTTTAATTTGATTATAAAAATGGGCAAAGGATTCAAGAAAAATTTCTCCACATATAAATGGCCAAAAAGCCATTTGAAAGCATATGAAAAAAGTTCATCATTAATCATTAGGGAAATGCAAATCAAAACCACAGTGAGATGCTATCTTACATTTACTAGAATAGAAAGGCTACAATAAAAAGATAGAATACTTGAGTGTTCCTAACAGCACTACTTATAAAAGGCAAAAGGTGGAAAACCCACAAATATCCATTAAAAAACAAACAACCAGGTAAATACAATGTGGTATATCCAAAGACTATTCCAGCCTTAAAATGAAGTTTTTAAGGAAAAAAACGTTGACATAAAACATGATATGGATGAAACTTAAGCATTATGAAAGTGAAATAAGCCATAAAATATGATTTTTTTCTATAATTCTTACAGCCCATTTTCTACCCTGGAGCTATAGTAATCATTTTAAAATTTAAGAGATTATGTCTTTTCTTTAGTTAGAACCTTAAATGTTTCTAATTTCACTCACTGTAATCTTGTCCTTCAAAGTGCTTCATGATTAGGCCTCATCTACTAACTTTTAACCTTTTGGATGCCTTGTATACTTTTACATATCTCTAAGTTTATGTAGGTGCAGGCACACATGTGCTACAGGGCATATATGAGAGTCAGAGAATGACCTAGGGTATCATTCTTCACCTTCCACCTTGCTGGGAACCAGGTCTCTTGTTTGCTCACTGTTGCTTTCAGGCTAGTCCACAAGCCTCCAGGTACCTGGTCTCTGCCTCCTGTCTCCCAGTAGGAGCACAATAGGATTATTCTGAGGACCTAAATCTAGGTAAGGCTTGTTCAGCAAGTGCTTTGCCCACTGAGCCATCTCCCCAGTCTCCCTCTCCTCTTTCTACCATACTGTAACCCTACCAGACATAATTCTAGTCTTTAGCCAGGAAGAAACATGTTTTTGCCTTAACATCTTTGCATCTGGTTCCCTGTTTTGAAGTATTACATACACTCTCAGGTATGATGTAGCTGGCTGACTCCTTCAATCAATTCATATGCCCACTAAAATTGTAAAACCACATCACACAAGTCACTCTTCCTGCTGAATTTCCATTTCTACCTTAGTTTTTAACCTACCATTCCACTGACATTTTCTTTCTCCTACCATTAAGTTCCAAGTGCCAAGAAGTCAAGAGCTTTGCGTAGTTTTTATTGTATCCCCAACACATAGAAATGTCACTTAACAAGGAAATTAAATATCTCCTGTATATGAAAAGACCTCTATGAAGTTCACCCTAGTTTAGTATAAACCATCTTTCCCCATAAGTTCCCTAGAGAAAAATAAAGTTTTGATAGTTTCATGTACTTTTGAAGTTCACTGATATAATTTTTAAGCTTCATATTTACACATAGCCCATACCTATATAACACATCTCAATTACATTGTAGAGGACTTAGTAACTCTGGTTAGAAGAAGGAGAAATCATGTGTCAGAAGACTTGGAAGACATCGTAAGACCTGGAGACATCAAGGTAAGATATTGGTCATACTGAGGAGCCAATAAAGAACAGCAAGGTCTTATACATTGTATGGAATGCCAAAGAATTAAGCTTGCTGGCAAAGGATCCCAAGACATTAAGGAAAAGTAATCCAGATAGAAATGCCTTACAGCTAAAGTATCATCGGCCCAGTCCATTGCTCTATAAAGTCTTTACGCATTCAACAAATAAGGCAATGAAATATAGTGGTGAATAAACACAGATAACCTTCATATAACTTACATATTAATGGAAATCACTGAATCCTATGATTTTATTTTTTTGATTTTTCAAGACAGGGCTTCTCTGTGGTGCCTGTCCTGGAACTCACTCTGTAGACCAGGCTGGCCTCGAACTCACAGAGATCCGCCTGGCTCTGCCACCCGAGTGCTGGGATTAAAGGTGTGTGCTACCGCCACCCAGCCAATCCTATGATTTAAGACATTATGCTTTATCTGAATTTCTCTAGAAACATACTGGAATTTACTTAAGTAAAAATGAGACCAAACTTTTGGCAAGTTCATTTGGCAAACTTCATTTCTAAGATAAAAGGATAAATTTTACTTTAATAAGGAAATTGAACTGAGTCAAAGATGAGCAATTCTACATCATTTAAAAATGATAAATTTCAAGTTTATTTGGACTGTGTGTTTGTATAGGTGTATATATTCATGTGTAAATGTGTGCATGCCCCTGCTATGATACACATGTACAGGTCAGAGAACTAACTACATGTGGGATTCAGCTTTTTTCTTCCACATGGGTTCCAGAGCCTTGACAGCAGGCACCTTTACCCACAGAGCAATCTCCCTAGATCTGGTATCATTTTAAAAAGTAAAAGCAAAAAAAAAACACCACAAAGAACTCCACAGGTATGGACAACTGAACCTCTCATGCATTGCTGGTAGAATGTAAAATGATGTAGTCATTTTGGAAAACAGTTTGGCAATAACCACCTAACTCCTCAATTCTACATGTGGGTATATAGTTAATAAAAATGAAGACATGACCACACAAAAACTTCCACACAAAATGTTCACAACACTATTTATTCACAATAACCAAAAAGTGGAAACAAATCAAAAGTCCATCAACTAATAAATGGATAAACAACATATGACACATCCATACAATGGAGCATTATTTAGCCATAAAAGAAATCTTTGTGCTATAGCATGGATAAACTTTTAATACATGCTACATAAAATAAGAAGTCACAAAAAGCCCAACATTATATTACTGCATTTATATGAAATGTTGAGAATAGCCAATCCACAGACTATGTAATAGTGGTTGCCAGGGAAGGGAAAAAGAAAAAATGGTGGGTGGGGTTCCACAGCTGGGTACACTGTTTCTTTCTGGAGTGACAAAATATTTTTGAGATAAGTGGTTCTTATACAACTCGGTAAATATAGTAAAAACAACTCAATCGCTTACTTATAAAGGGTGAATTTTATGGCAAAGAATACTGAAATTTTAAAAAAATTCTCATGTTTCATGCTACAACATTGTCCTCAAAGCTAACATTAACAAGCTTAACACTAACCAGCTACATTTTACTTAATCCTGATCACCATTATGCGGTAAGCATAGTTCTCATTCCTATTTCACAGATGAGGAAACAGAGGCTAGGTAACCTACCCCAAATCATTTACATAGCAAAGATTCTTAGAGCTGGGCACTGAACCCAAGTAGAATGCCAGCATTCAAGCTCTAATCATCTCAAAGGGTAAAGATATACCCTGGAGCATTTATGATATAGTTATCATCATAAATGTTCAATAAATCTATTTCTTGGTACACTGTGTTTCTAAAGCTTTTTCAGCCAAGAAAAACACAATAGACAGCTTGTTACTTGAAATATGATATGTGTTAAGCATATCATATTAGGAAATTGGTGACTTTTGCCCAACAAAGGACAAGATTTTTATATATTCCAATTGTTTTATATGCCAAACCACATAGCTTCACTATCTTTTAATCAGTCCCAAACTTACTATCATAATCAAGTCCAGTTAAAACAAGCTCCACGTATTTTGACTAAGGCTAGTCAGGTTAGGAGTTGATTTAAAAATCTAGTCAAGCCGGGCGGTGGTGGAGCACGCCTTTAATCCCAGCACTCGGGAGGCAGAGCCAGGCGGATCTCTGTGAGTTCAAGGCCAGCCTGGTCTCCAAAGTGAGTTCCAGGAAAGGCGCAAAGCTACACAGAGAAACCCTGTCTCGGAAAAAAAAAAAAATCTAGTCAAATATTTAAATGTTTTAAGAGTTGATACTAAGGATTATGGAAAAACAATTAGCACTATCTCTTTCTATTCACATCCCTGCTTCTGAAGAGATTCAAATTGATTAAGGACTCTTGCCCAAACTAGAAATTATCTCATTCAATTACTCCTCAGAATCATATGGGGTCACATATTTGCCATAGGTTCCACCAGTTCTCAGAACTAGAGCCAATTTAGATGACTAAAGACCCCTGCAAAGAGGTGTGAGGTTGAATACAAAAATGTGATATGATGATGATATCTTTGCTATACATGACATAACTTCTAAGACACCAGTGACTTAGTAGTATAGTGCCCCTGCAGAATAACCTGGTCTTATCATTATAGTATGGAGAGATTCCTAAAGATTGATGAAATTTGTTGACTAACAGTTTGTAAATGGGCAGAGTCAATGGGATTCAAATTGAGGTCTCCCTCTGCTGTTTCTTTTTTTCTTTTTTGGTCTTGTTTTGTTTTTGAGACAGGACTGCCTCTGCCTCCAGAGTGGTGTGCACCATCACTCCTGGCTTCTTCCACCTGTTCTATTACACATGCATCTACTTCATAGATCCAAGAAGAGTTCCCAAAGAGAATTGTACTGACCTCAAAATTTTGTAGTCATTCAAACTAAGTCAGAATCTAAGGGTCCACACCTATTAGAGTTTCAATCTGCTTGAGCTGAACAGTCTATAAAGTCCTGGCTCCTGCTAATACTCAAACAGCTATTATATGCTTCTTCTCCAGAATTACAAAGACCTCAAATATTCACCCACTCCATTGTTTTTGATGTTTAAATCAAACTTCATGTGATAACCAATGATCAACTGAAATATTTTAATAAACATAAAATGGATCTGAAGACTCAGATCCCTAGACTAACATTAATCACACAACAATGTAAAAACTGCTGAAACCAAACGCTCCCTGATAGCAGGCTATTTTTCATTTACTGATTACCTCTCTGTAGGACTAGCCATGTGAAAAATGTTCTCATCTTCATTCTGTAACCGCTCTTTTCTCCTCCTTTCAATGTCATGTCGTAGGTCATTTGGATCTATTACTTTGACCAGAGTCTGAGGGATTTTGACAGAATACAAACCGTTCACATTACTGTTAGTTGCACAGAGACCATTTCTAACAAGAACCTTAATTAAAAGTCCCTAATTATTTTATACTCATCCTGCTAATGGTAGTATAAACTAATATATTTTGAGATAAAATTGATGTTAGAAAAGTTCAACTGACGTTAGAAAAGTTCTTAATATTGAACCAGGAATCCTACTTCTGGGATTCTATTCAAAAGAAAAGGCTGCCTCTTTAAAAATATTTAAAACAACAAAAAGGAAACAACTTAAATGTAAAAATAATTTAAAGGGAAGAAAAGAATGATCCAGTAAGTTATGGTAAATAAATCAAACAAAACTGTTATAGCCATTAAAATTAATAAATGATATATGGAATATGGAAAACATTTACTGAAAAAAATTAAAAATTTAAAAACTCCAATTGTAAAAGGCCATGGGGGGAATTTAGAACTTTTACATAAAAGAGATATTGTGGATTATGAAAAAAGCATATTGAATTGCATCTGATAGACTGTTAAAATGTACCATGTTATACAACAGGAATTATGGATTTTTTAAGTCTTCAAATTTCCTGTAAGTTGACTACAAAGATAGTTAGAAATTTTCTCAAAGTATCATTCAATAAAGTAAGCTATCTGTGTTAATAAAAGCTTTGTAAGTAAAAAATTACTTATACAGTCTATCAAAAATACATTAAAATCTCTTCACTACAGAAACAGTCTCAAAGGAAAAATTAACAATTCATTTAGAATTTGACATGCTTTTAAAGATTTGTCTTCCAACCTGGTTAGTCATGACAGTCTTCCTAATCAGTAAAGTAAGAGAAGGTGGGAAGGGGAGGTGTTGGGTAGGAGCCACATACATGACAATGGAGAAATTTAGTATTATTTTCATTATTTTGCTAGTTTATATTCCACAGAATCATTCTTAAATTCTACAGCAAACAGAAGGGCAGCACCAAATGCCACAGGTTCCTTTGCATTTCTTTCACATACAATTAAAAATATATTCCATGTGCCAGATTTGAAAAAAAACAGCTATCGATCATATTTTCTATAAGCTTTACACTAAAGAGTCTGGGGATGAGTAGTAAATGCAATTTTTTTAAAAAAATTTGAGACAGGGTTTCTCTGTGTAACAGCCCTGGCTATCCTGGAACTAGCTTTGTAGACCAGGTTGGCCTCGAACTCAAGAGATCCACCTGCCTCTGCCTCCCAAGTGCTGGCATTAAAGGTGTGGGCCATGACCGCCCTTATATGTGATTTTTAAATCAACTTTTCGAAGTTGTTATCCTTAATAATCTCAAAGAAAATTTCTGTCTTTTTTTGGTATTTTCACTCCATCCTGGACTGCAATCAGTCACTTGGAGACTACACCTTTTCAATTTTAGATTCTTGGATATCAGTCTTTCTTCATACACCTTTAACTCCTTTCTGGACCCCATCACAAACCCTTTTCCTGCTACTATATCAATATAATTGTATTCACTTACCTTATCTGGTTCATATACCATAGTCTGTTTATTCTGAAGATCAGCCAAAGACATATCTATTCTCCTAAAATAATAAAAGCAAATAATTAAATAATTATGCTAATTATCTTATGCACTGATACCTTGATTGTTTTATTACAGAATAGAATTTGGAATAAAAACAGTAGGTCTTGAAGAAAGCAAAAGAAGCCTACTGTTGGCAGGTTTTCATTTATTTATTTATTTATTTTTCTAACGAAGCCCTTGTTCTGAAACTTATTGCCTTCAACTCAGAGATCTGCCTCCCTCTGTCTCCCAAGTATTGGGATTAATGTCATACGCTACCATGCCCTGCTAGGTTTTCACCCATATGGTGATCTACTAGGTCATACATATCCTATGAACCACACTATAGGGAAGTTTTGGTGCTTCTCTAATCACTAGTAACTGTGACCTCAAATTGTATTTTGGTGATACACAACATTATAACATTGATTCAATTTAGCACTCCAGTTATGCTCAGACAAGTGCCAGCAGAAGGCATTCTTTCATCCTCAGACCTCAAAACAATCACTTGTGATCACTTAAAGTAACTGATTTCAATGGCTTAACCAATCTTCCAATGTTAACTTCAGTAGGCAACTAATATAGACACAGCAGAATCAAAGGCAGGTAAATATTTTAAAAGTCCCAACGTTCAAACAGTGTTAGTCAATGACGTTAATGCAACCTACTTCATCGATGTGTACTGGTCCAGTAACTGCTTACACTGATCTTGTTTTTTTATGTACAAAGTACACCCCTAGAGTCTATACCACACCCAGGAAAGCAAGCTTACAAAGCTGGACCTTTCCCAATCTATTCTGAGGTTTATTTTCATGAGGTAAATGGAAAGAGAGTAACTAATCATTACCTGTGAAATTCTGGATCTGAATTCAATTTCATTTGATTGACATCTGCACCATGTCTGTTATGTATTCTTGAGAAACGCTCATTTAAAGTAACATGAGATGCTGCAAAACAACTTGCTGGAAAAGGAAATAAATAGCTCCATGTCAACGTGAAACTGACTGCCATTAAAAAGATTCTATAAAGCTCAAGATCAAGAAGGGGCCATTAAAATACATCCAAAGTGTTCTCCTTTGAAAAGAAACAGGACCCAAACTTCATTTCCATATTAACTTGTAATGCTCAGATGCCCTTCTAAACCCAAACAAGAGTTTTGAAAAACTTGACTTATGAACTGAAAGATTTTCTTCCTATCTGCCATATTTGCTTTCTTGTACAGAAGAATGACACTGTCAAAGTGAGAATCATTCTCCATGGTAAGAGCACACTCCAGAATGTAAGAAAGACACTCTACAGTTCAACAGTGAAGATTATATCAACTAACAATTTAATCAAAATAATCTCTGAACAAATGCTGAATGTTCTGTTTAAATACCATAGGGTGCCTTCCAACATCATTTCACTTTTACATTAACTTCAATTCATAGACATTCTAAAATTAGCTATGCTGTAAGCTCTTAATAGTACAGAAAGGAGAATACACTTAATTGGTCCCAATGTTATGCAAGCAATCTTCTCTCCTAATTCACTAGTCTTGTTCTAGAACACTCTGTTTTTCTGTAAAATACTACCATACTTTCTGAAAACTATACTTTGGGAAAAAGGGTTGGAGCTGAGAGTGTAAACTGTTCCTGACAAACTGTATACTTTATTTTTTATTCATATTTTCTCAAGTTTGGGGGGATCAAACTCAGGGTCTTGCATAGTCTCAGAAAACTGCTTTAATACTGAACTAAACCCTCAGCCCCAAACTACCTCGTTCAAAATATACACACCTTCACTTAAGGGATAGCAGATAGAATAGTTTTGAAAAGTATTACTTATGTGTATTGAATGTTCTGCCTGTATGATGTGCACCATGTGTATGACTTGTGTGCAGAGTCCAAAAGAAGACTAGAACTGGAGTTAAAGAAGTCTGTAAGCAGCCACGTGGGTGCTGGGAACCTGCAGCCTCTTCAAGAGCAGCTAGTACTCTTAACTGCTGAGATATCTCTTCAGCCCAATAATTATTTTAAAAATATGTGTCATGAAGGTAAAGATTAAAGTAAATAAAATTTTGACATTCTTGAAAATCTGTTGTTTAGAATATCTATAATTTATGCAGCACTACTAGAGAAAGTTGTTTTACATCACTGCTTTTCTAATTAGTGAAAAATTGTCAAAAGCAAAACTTTACTGCAAATCTTTAAAGCCCTAATGAACTCTTTGATGTCACAAAGAATGAAATCTTCCACTGATCACACAGCAACAAGATTATGGCACAAAGTCCTAGGAAGGCCCTGGGGGAGGGTTGCAATATCATAAAATAACCTAACTTCTAGATTATCTGGGATTTATACCTGTTTTTGTTGCTTCTTCCTCCTTTGTTAGGCTCTCAATATGCCTGTTGTTTGGATCAGGCTGATCTTTTACTAACTAATGAGTTGTACTCCACTAGCATTTGAAGCAGAAAGTTATTGAAAATACATTAAAAAAAAACAACTAGGCTTGAATGAATGTCTGGTACTCTTTCCAAATGATTTCCTAACTTAGACCTACTTAAAATGGAATATTAATTACAATTAAACTACATCAAAGATATTTATACCTTGTAAAAGTTGGTACATTATTTTTGTGCTAGATATAATGTTTGGGTAAACTATACCAACCTTTAACTTCATGGATTAGTGCTATGATTTCCTGAGCAAATTCTTCTGTAGGTTTGTTTTCAGGATTCTGAGGCGAGTCAAGATGTTGAAATACTGGATGAAAACTGTCATTTTTTCTGCCAACAGCAACCAAATCATGTGATAGCTGTCTATCTGCAGAATATCCAGAAGTAGACCTAAAATAATTTGAGATGTTTAATTAAATTTGAAACTGTTTAGCTAAGGATGGAATTTGTTAAAATTAAGATAGCTAAACATTAAAAATATTTTTATTTATTCTGTCATAACTTAGGCACTAAATCACATGCTATAAAACTAAGAAACCATGAGTGGAAGATAAGTATAGATAAATGGTCCTAAACTCTTTTCAAATAACAAGTCTAAGTGAATTTTTCCTTCAAACACATGGCATTAAAGTCACCTAATATACAAGAAATAATCAGACTATTTTCTACTTCAATATTGTCAAAATATTGTAAACAACCACTTTGAACCGCTACCATATTTTCCATATTTTAAAAGTTGTTATCAAACCTAAAAACTTGACTTTACAAAAATTCTCTCTCACTGTAAGTAAGGAGAACCTTAGAATAGTGTTTTGAAACTAATCTATTAAGATATTAACTGTGGGCCATCAGGATGGCTCACCAGGTAAAAGAACCTGCCATGCAAGCCTGATGACCTGAGTTTGATCCCTAGAACTCATGGTAGAAGGAAAGAAACAACTCCCCAAAATTGTCCTCTGCCTGCCATGTGCATACCTGCCATGGTCATACCTGCCATGGCACATGTGTGCCAGTATTCACACATCATGCATATACATGCGCGGTGCGCACACACACACACACACACACACACACACACACACACACACACACACTATAACCTCATTCCCTCTATCTTGGAGAATAATCTAGTCAGTTAAATTTAGTCATGTTGCAACCACAGTAAGAATCACATCAAGTCATCTGTCTCCTGGGATCCCAAAAAGACATTAAGCTCCATTTCCTCTTTCAAAACCTAACTTTTATCTTTTATAAAAATAAGGACCTGCTAAGATCCCTTCCTGCTAAAAGATTCTATGAATGTCAAAAGCAACAAGGAACAGCCTGAGAAGCTGCATAAAGAATAGATGCTGGCCTGTGGTGGTGGCGCACGCCTTTAATCCTAGCACTTGGGAGGCAGAGGCCGACTGATTTCTGTGAGTTTGAGGTCAGCCTGGTCTACAAAGAGTGTTTTAGGACAGCCAGAGCTACATAGTGAGACCTTGTCTCAAAACAAACAAACAAACAAAAAAAAAGAATAGAAGCTGAACTCTCTTTAGCCTATGCCTGGATTTAAAAAAAATCTGGCAGTATAAAAACACCTAACTTCATAAAGAGAAACAAGTCCCTGAAATGCCCTAAATCCAAGAATTATCTGCAGATAAGATATAAGAACCAGAAGACACTAGATCACCACCTATTACTAAACTACAGAATTTGTCTTCATTACAGGACTTTGGGGGAAAAGCTTGGTAATCTCGTGAACACACAATGTACTCTAATCAACAGTACAAATCCCATCTTGAAGCAGCAAATTAAAGTGGAAAAAAATCAATTAATAAACACTTAGAAGCTAATACCTAAATGTGTCCATCTTGTTCATGTCTACTTGAACAGTAAGTGATTTTTTCTTGACAAATGAGTAGCGTTTCTCTTCATGTTTTGGGCTTGCATCAAGTTGTTTACTAGAAGAGGTACTCTCTTTTCTGCAATCATTTATTTTTTTCTTCCATGTGTCGTTGCAAGGCCCCAAATCAGCTTCTGTTATATTTGTATTAGTATAGGAAACACAGTCTTTCTTGTAGAGTTGAAAAGGCCCATTGACTTGCTCATTCTCATTCTCTCTTCCTCTTGTAGCACTAAAACAATCAGACTCTCTATTTCCAGGAACTTTTAGAGAACTGTATTTTCTGTCTTCTGCCTTCAAGTACTTCGGAAATCTCCCATCAGGAAAGTCCTGCTCGCTGTCTGAGAGCTTATGATGTTTGTGACGGTAATCATAAGATACTCTGGTTGCTGAACTTGTCTCTGGGTATTCTCTCTCAGTGTATCTGTAGCTTTGTGATCCGAAGCTCCACTCTTCATTCTTCTCTTGGAAAGGTACAAAAGAATGCTCAGGCTTCCACTTTGGGATTCTGGTTGGCTCTCTATTTTCATACCTTGCCACATCCGTAGGTCTTTTTGATGTGTAGCCATACTTTCTGAAATCATGATCCTCTGGGTACCTGTGTTGACATACAGAAGTTTATATTGACAATACACAGAAGTAAACATTTCAATGTGTAGAATATTGAGCAGTCTGGCCTTAAAATGCAGCATGCAATGACAAGATAACCTATATAGGACCTCATGCCAACTCATAAAGGCACATAAAGAGTAACATCTTTTAAAAACATTCTCGCCGGGCGGTGGTGGCGCACGCCTTTAATCCCAGCACTCGGGAGGCAGAGCCAGGCGGATCTCTGTGAGTTCGAGGCCAGCCTGGTCTACAAAGTGAGTTCCAGGAAAGGCGCAAAACTACACAGAGAAACCCTGTCTTGAAAACTAAAAAAAAAAAAAAAAAAACATTCTCACTTTAGCTAGGCACGGTGGCATATAACTTTAATCCAAGCACCCTGGAGGTAAAGGCATATCTCTAAGTTCAAGACTAGCATGGTCTACAGAATGAGTTCCAGGACAGCGAGGGCTACACAGGGAAACCCTGTCTCCAAACACCAAAAAAGAAAAGAAAAGAAGAGAAGAGAAAAGAAAAGAAAAACACATTCTAGCTATCAGTATGAATTATCTGAAAAAGAAATATTCTTCTCTTTTGAGACAAAAAAAGGTGATCATAATCAACATAAAAGTAACAGACTCTTTTACTTGAGGCCTTATGCCAAACTCCCCAGGCTTAGTGATTCCCTGTACCTCTTCTGAAAATGGTTCCTCGCATCAAAGTCTTCTGAGCCTCTTCTGGGTGACTGAGGGTAGCTTTCTTCTTGGACCCTCTGGTGTCTGGATTCATCTTCAAATCTACAGGAATCTGCCAGTGACATCTGAGATGGCTTCCCTCCTCTCTCACTTCCTCTAACTCTGTGCTCATCTGGAATATACCTTCCTTGCATTTTAGGGGGATAACAATCCCTTTCGTGCTCTGTGTAGGTTGTTGCACTTTCTGAGTATGTGAGCATATACTGAGATCTTCTATCATCATCCCCTCTTCCAGGGAAATATTCTTGGTGAGGCTTATATGTGTCAAATTTTTCTACAGACTTTACATTTGGTGAAGGTGATCTATTTTCATAAGACCGATAATATGGCTTCACACGAGGGGGAATCCTTGGTTTATTCTGTCCATGTTTCTCATCGTCCATTCTCCAAGGAAAGGGTCTTTTTGAATCATTTCTATATTCAGGGTCATAGTGCCCATGGAAATGTCTTTCCTCGTAGTATTCAAAATTTCTAGATTGTGGTGACAAAGACCTATGTAAACAAGCACAGAAAAGTTTAGTTCACTTTAAGACCTTTAACTGTTTGTTTTAGTGTAATCTACCTAAAATACTGACCTTTCCTAGAATTCCACTACTAACATACTCAAGGTAAATATAGAAATCTAGTTATATATGTACCTGTAATTTGTACATTGGGTTGAGGAGATCTAATGATTCTTTTGTCCTACCTGACAACCATACTCTCTTCATCCAAACTAATGTAGTCAATGAGCACATCCAACTGGGTCAAACATACCTGTCATATTGGAGAGGGACCAGACCAGGTATATAATACAATCTTTTTTGAGAGACTACTGATAGCAAAGTTCTAACAAAAGTAGACGTAGCAACTCCAAAAGGCCAATGAGGAAAAGCTTACATCAGGTTCAATAGCCAAGTGAGAAGCAAGCATGAATGAAATAAGAACAAATATGTCAAAGAGTATCAAGAAAACTGAATGTGACCTCCTAAATTGCATTTTAAGACAATAATGCTACAATCCAAACTCATATCCAGAAATGTTTTATAGTTTTTCCAACTGACTGTTCTCTCCCTTCAGGTTGTACCAAAGTAAGAAGCTTATCAGGTAGCATGGGCAGGAAAGACAAGAGAGTCTTAAGACATCAATCTCTACTTTTCCTCCATATATTAGGTTTCTTTTTTGTTTTGTTTTTAAGAAAAAACCGAGTCTCACTCTATAACCCAAGCTGGCCCAACTGGAACTGTCTCTGATGACAATGCTGACCCTATACTTAAAAACAATCTTTCTGCCTCTACACCCAGTATGCTGGGAATACAAGAGTAGACTACTATGCCTAACTCTCCATAAATAATTCTAGCATAAACTGCTTTTCTTTCTAAAATCTCCACCCTATCAATTGAAAGATGTGTTGTTTAAATAGCTTGTAACTCTAGTCAAAGTGTGTTGAACACAGCTATAATACTCTCCAGTATTATAGCTTCTCTGTATCTATCTTTCCTGGGACCTTGACACTGCCAGCCTGTAGACTTGTATTTCCACTGAGAAGACTCCCATAATATTTATGGAAAACACTGTAGGTCACTCAGCCTTAAAGATAAGGAAGGGGGCTGGGCACAGTGTCTCATAACTTTAATCCCTGTACTTGGGAGACACAGGCAGGCAGATCTCTGAGTCTGAAGCTAGTCTAGTCTATATACTAAGTACTAGGTCAGCCAGTGAAACTCTGTCTCAAAACAAGCAAGCCAAAAAAAAAAAGATAAGGAAAGAACAAGATAAAGCTCATCTTTGCACCTGAGAACCTTTACCCCATGTGACTTGTCCAATTTCTTATCATCTCCTTTAGGGCTTAATGTCTCCAAAGCAGTAAGAAAGGTGTGCCCTGGCAATTTTTTTATTTACTTGCTCTAAGAAGCTTCTAAATAATTGGGGAAATCATGAATGAATCTCTTTCTTTTCAATGACAAATCTGTGTCTTTATACAAGAAAGGAGGCACATCTATCTTCTTCAGTACCCATTAGGACATTTACAGTGGATTTGGCAATACTGTCTTCCAGAGTCACCAAGCTAGACATACTGGCAAATACTACTTATCAGAAGCAGAAACTCTGGCTATACCGCATCACAGGAGGAGAAGCAACTAGAGCCTCTGAGGAATTCCTGGGTAATTTTATCTCTTTTCATTGCTTAGGAGAGAACCTGGCAGTCAGAGGCAGATGTCTTCCAGACTGGATGACACACTCAAGATTTAACTTTAGCCCTTAATTCACATTTAAATCTATTCTGAGATCATATTTTATATCTTACTGTATAGTACTCACTTCTAGAAAAAGTTGTTATAATGGTTAGCATTTCTAATTCTCCTAGAGGGGCAAAAGAGACCCGAAAAGTCTATTAGGAGACAATTGTCCAGTGTCTAGAGTTTTGCATGCCGTAAGAGTAGAGGCACTGACAACTTTGGTTCCCCAAGAAACAGCCTTGCAAATAGAGATAAGGTCTCCCTTATGGATAGAGGGCTTATTTGTTTGCTGCCCATGATAATAAGATAATATTTACTACAAGTGACTCAAGTTCCTCAGTTGTGTCATAACCCCAGAACCTGTGACTGTTTTGCATCATCTACCTAGCCAGCCACTCTGAAGCCTTCAGGGGATCTTAGAAGGTAGAGAGACTGTCTCTGACATGGGAGTGGTCTTGTAGCAAACTAGTATGTTGGCTTGCAATATGACCAAAATGTCAAACCCTTTATAGTTCTTAAAAAACAACCTGAAGAAGGAATTAGAAATTCAGGCACTAAGCTTGGCAGAGTCCCTGTGCCCATTACCAGAGCCTCACTAAAAGAAGAATAAAATAAAATGACCTCTGTGCTATCTTCCATGTTACAGTCATTTCTCTCTTTACATTCTCTTTTCTTTTTGAAATTTCTCCCAAATACAACATGATTTTGTGACATTTATAAAATGAAAATCAATTATATAAATATAATGACTGTGATTCACCGTTATTATTGGAGCAAGCACAATGGCCAAGCTATATTAACATAAAAATCATGGTTCATCTTTAATGTGCGTAATAATGGTCCTTTTCATCAGTCCGAAAACTTACCGGCTGCAAAGCAGAATTATTCTGTCCCTACAAATGCAGAATGCTTTGCCCAAGTCAGAAGCTCAGCACTTTCCCCACTCTATCAGAATTGCCTATTGTGTTACTCTCCCCAGCCAATCTGTGTGCTTGCTAAGACCACAGAAGTTGGCATACTTTTGCATTTGTAGTCCCAGAACTTGGCTGTAGGTGATGTATAGTAAGTAAACTGGTTGAACTATTCCAATCTAATCATGTGTACTATAGTACTGATACTACCTATCAGAAAAAAATGAGGTGAACTATAATTGAGCTATTCAAAACCACTATTCTGCCAAGAAGATAGGAAACACCTTATTTTCTGACTAAATTTCTTCAAACATATTATGAAAAATTAAATGAAACCTACACTGAAGAGTTGAAAACCTTGTTAGCTTAAAAAATGTAACCTTCTCAAAGTCATTTCTCATTCTGGTTGTGGTCACTACATTCCTTTTTATTATAGATTAATTCTAGCTGCCAGCCCCAATTAAATAAATTTATCAGCTCCCTGAATCAAGAAATACTGATCAATTGGCTACTGTGAACAGACAGGTCCAGTGAGCTTATTAAAATCGAAGCTTGAGCAGAAATGGTGATTTCCAAATCCAAGTTAACTGTGTAAAACATGCAACTCCTCACCTTTTTTTCCACCTGGGGGATCTGGATCTTGACCGCGCCATCTTTAGCATGTGAGCCACTGGATCAACTTTTTACACTGCAAAGAAATAAAAGCATTAGCAAATTTGTTGTAAAAAAAAAAAAAGTCTGCAGTATGCTCTGGTGAATGCAAAGAGAAAGCTGCTTAATTCTTCCATGCATTTATTTCCCGATCTGCAAAACAGGGATAAGAGCACCCACCTTAGTAAAATACTGTCAAGATAAAATGAATTCAATCAAGGATCAGCAAATGTTTTCTATAAAGGACTACATTGAAACTATTGTAGACTTTGTACAGCATAAGGTCTGAATCAAGTCTATTAATTCTGTCTTATTAAAACAACCCCTTAAGCCAGGCAGTGGTGGTGCATGCTTTTAATACCAGTACTCAGCAGGCAGAGGCACGTGGATCTCTGTAAATTTCAGGCCAGCCTGCCTGGTCTACAGAGTGAGTTCCAGACAGCCAGGGCTACACAGAGAAATTCTATCTCAAAAAACTAAAACCAGGGGTTGGGGATTTAGCTCAGTGGTAGAGCGCTTGCCTAGCAAGCACAAGGCCCTGGGTTCGAGCCTCAGCTCCAAACAAAAAAAAAAAACTAAAACCAAAACCAAACAACCCCTTAAAATATAAAAACATAGCTGGGCATGGTAACATAATCCCAGACATAGGAAGCTAAGACAAGAGGATCATGAATTTGAAGCAGCCTGGGCTACATACCAAATTTGAGGACAGCTTGGGTTACATAGCAAGACCCTGCTTCAAAAAAAAAAGTAAAAGATACACATCAGCTTTCAAAGACTTGGCAAAATAAAAGAATAAAACACTTCATTAATGTATTTTAATACTGAGCATATGTTAAAATGATTATTTTTGGTATGTTGGGTTAAATGTATTGTTAAAACGTTTTTATAATTTACAAACAGTGAAGGGGAAGACTTACTTTACAACTTAAGTAAAACACAGCTCGCTGAACAGATGAAGATAGGTTTCTTCTGTATCCCAGAATCTAATCAATATTTATATGTATAATTCAGCTATAATTTGGCTTAAAAGGGATTATTGGGAAATGTTATCATTTTTACTATTTTCTACAGAGAAAATATTTTACTGTTTAAAATAACCCTGGACTTTTGAATTATAACCTGTTTTTATGTTCAAGCTATCTGTGTATTATTTCTCCTGCAGTTGTACATAAAATGTTTTCACATTCAAAAAAAAGGACAAATATATAGAATATATAAATTCATAGAGACAGAAAGATTAGATGTTATCTCAAGATGGAGAAGAAAGGAATATAGAGCAATGATTTCTTAAGTACAGAATCTCTGTTTTGTGTGATGGAAAAGTCCCACAAATGGACAGTAGTATAAGGACATAATATCATGAATGTAATAAATCAATACAATTAATGCAATTAATGAATATCATAAATATAGTTATTGAATGACTACTACGAATGTAATCAATGAATACCACAAATGTAATTAATATCGTGAATGTAATTAATATGAGTGTAATTTAAAAAAAGTTTTTATAATTTAAAAAAATGACAGGAGGTAGAGGCAGAGATAAGCAGATCAGTTCAAGAGCACCCTACACTACATACCAAATTTAAGGCCAGTCTGCGGTGTGCATGAGACTCTGTCACACACAAAAAAATAAAGTTCCAGTTTGCTAAAACTAGGTGTGGTGGTGCATGCTTTTAATGCCAGCACTTGGGGGAAGCAGAGGCAGGCAGATCTCTGTGAGTTGAGGACCAGCCTGGTCTACAGTTAGTTCCAGGACAGCCAAGGCTATTAGGCTGTTACAAAGAGAAACCCTGTCTCGAACACACACACACACACACACACACACACACACACACACACACACACACACACTCACACACCAGTGATCAAAAGCAACTTGGGAGAGGAAAGAGTTTATTTATTCTTATAGGTTTCAGTCCACTGAGGGAAACCAGAGCTGGAGCTAAAGCAGGAACCTGGAAGCAGGAACAGAAGCAGAGACCATCATACGGCTCTGGCTTGCTCCCAGGCTCATACTCAGATAGATTTTTCCCGTTTTTGGTTTCCTTCCATTCTTATTTCTAGAGATGTGGTCTCACAACACAGCCCTAGCTGTCCTAGAACTTACTATGTAGACCATGCTGTCCTCAAACTTACAGAGATTAACTTGCCTCTGCCCCCTAAATAGTGGGATTAAACACATTCAGTGTGTTTGTCAATTTTTAGACTCGTTTTTGTCTGTAATTTTAGGCCACTTCCTTTTGAGATATGTACAAACCTCTAGTTTTGCTTCATACCAATGCTAAAAAATAAAACAGCATACTCACAAAACAGAACAAAAAAACAGGGAAAAAAAGCTACTCTGTCCTGGTAACATTTAGCACCTGTGAAAACCTTGTCATGTTAACATTTTATGCTTTAAATCTAAAGCATGTATTATCTATTCTGACTTGTCCTGCAATTCCTTTTCTGCAATAGTTTCAAGGCAACTTCATCTGAGTAGTGGAGGTACTAAGGTTTCCACTCTCTACTGCTACCACTACTTATCTGCTCACCTTTTCTGGTTTGTAGGACTTTTAACTCTTTTGTTTTCTGGTCAGGGACCCAACCAGTATTGCTGTGGAATAATCCTTCTGTACACTGTAAATTATGCTGTGGTTGGTTTAATAAAGAAGCTGACAGGCCAATAGCTAGACAGGATTAGGTTAGGCGGGAAACCCAGACTAAGGACACTGGGAAGAAGAAGGGAAGAGGCAGAGGAGTCACCAGGCAGACACAGAGAGATCACAAGGAGATGCTAGAGGAACAAGACATGCTAGAGGACAAGTAAAGCCACAAACCATGTGGCAATACATAGATTAATAGAAATGGGTTAATTTAAATTGGAAGAGATAGTTAGTAATAAGCCTGAGCTATCGGCTGAGCATTTATAATTTATATTAAGTCTCCTTGTCAGTTATTTGGGAACTGGCAGGTGGGAAAGAAGTCCACCTACACAGTATTTAATGTATGACTTGGGTACAAATCCATTCTTGATTGAAAGAGCTTTCCTAGAAGGACATCACCTTAAGACACTAACCCAAATCCCCTCACCCTACACCATGTCCTGAGGCATTTTACCCCCGACCCACCCACCTCCGCCAGCCTCAATAAAGAAGACCCTGGTGAGGTGAACTGATTGTGGATTAACACTAAGGGTATTTAATCTTGTTTGTTAGCAAGATTTAAAAATCAACTTCATTTTTGTGTGTATGGATGAGAAGGTACACTCACAATGATTTTTTTTAGGAGTGTGTGTACCAGGGGCTGACTTCCTCACTTCAGGTGTTTTTCTCTCTCTCTTTCTGCAGTAAGGTTTCTTATTGCCCTGGTGCATACCTTTTTAGCTAGACTAACTAGCCATCAAGCTGCTAGAATCCCAGTCTTGGTTCCCTTCCCTTCCCATTTCTGGGTTTCCCAATATGTACCACTATGCCTGACTTTTACATAGAGACTAAGGATCTGAACTCAAGTCTTAATAAGCAAGCACTTTACTATAGGCTTATTTAGTAGATCTTCATATCCAAAACACATAGTTTCTCCCCCAGATACTGCCTTACAACCTTTCACTTATAGTCTGCACTCTTCTTGCCTCCCATCTCTGCCATTATCTATAACCTTAACCCCTTGTTTGGTCTCCACCACTGCCCAGCATTAATTCACTTCTTTGACTGGTGATAAAGACTTAAGAATTGTCAGGCTCTCAGCCACTTTTGCTGATGCTTCTTGTAGAATTTTATGATTTTTATATGGGCAGGTGGAATTGCTAGGGGATTATCTTTAAGCCATTCCTGGACTGGGCCTAGGCATCCAGTTGGATTTTCTTCCTCTTCTTCATGTTTAGTCAGACACCTAGTATCTTTTTGTGATTACCAACTACATCAAGAGGGAAACCTTTGCAGCTTAGTTCAAACTCTATAGTGTAGGGCATAAAAGGCTTTCTCAAAGCATGGCTTTCAAACTGCCCTAAGGTAGGCACCTTCACATTCAACTATATTCCTTAGAACCCTTATCTAGAAATTATAAAGGGGTACAGAATTAACAGGATGCCTAATTTGGGGGAATATACTCTAGTCTTGGTTCTCTCATCAGAGATCACAAAAAGTACAGAAGATAACAAAAGCTCTACAGGGCCCTCATCCCAGTTACAGCCAAGAGACAGGAACAGAGATCTGAACAAAGGTATGAGTATGTATTTTCAGGAAAGCAAATAAAAAAAACATAGAAAGGGGTTGGGAAGCTAGCTCCATGGTATGCACTTGAAATCTAGTGCCAAGGAAGTAGAGATAGCGAGGTTGCTAAACTACTTGGCACAGTCCAGGCCAATGAGAAACTACCTAAAAAACAAATGAGGCTGGGGAGGAATAGCTAAAAATTGCTTGCTGAGCAGTCAGGCATACTTGTGGTTCAAATCCCCAGTACCTGTGTAAAATCCAGGCATGGCTGTGTAAGTCTGTAATCTCAGCACTGGGGACCAGAGACAGAAAGATCTCAGGGGCCTGCTAACCAGTGTAGCTGAAATGACAACCTCCAAGTTCAATGAGAGATTCTGTCACAAAAAAATAAGGTAAAGCGACTGAGAAAACCATCCAATAAAAACCTCTGGCCTCCACTCAAAAGCCCCCCAACACATGTATACAATACACACATATACCCAATGGATGGTGCCTGAGGAGAGACACTCAGGCTGTCCTCTGGCCTACACATGCACACATAGATACACACAAAAAATAAAGAATATTTTTGGGTAAAAGATTTTGTAGCAGGGCATAGTGGTGCACACCTTTATTCTCTGCTCTCAGAGGTAGAGGCAGAGTTCAAGGCCAGTCTGGTCTACATAGTGAGTTCCAGGACAACCAGAGCTACGCAGTGAGACCCTGTCTTGGAAAAAAAAGAAAAGATTTTATATGGTAAACAAGATTTTGTCCTAGGTTGAAAAAAAGGACTAGTTTGTTTTTTCCCAAAACAGAAAAGGAAAAACAAAATCAAAACACTTCAGAATATCACAAA